GCGGAACACCAGAAATGTAGTACATGTATAATCCCGCTGCAGTAACTGTGCAGGATACCATGTCCCTTTATTTATAAAACTACACTCACACATACACGATATAAATAAGTATTCTTATAACATAGGTGGAATTAACCAGCGCCGATGCGAAAGTTACGCCCTATCACCGGATTTTGATTGTGTCATTCACCTAGACCTGCCCCGACAATACGACCTCATTACGAGCATCACCTACCAGGACAGCAGGGCTAAAGAAAGAGAGGGGCTGGGTCATCCCTTTGAGAAGAACGATGCCGACACGAACCCCTCTTGGGGAGCATACCGGATGTCACAGCCAACTCTATCTAGAGTTGGCTGTGACCGGATGTTATGTGACGTCAATGGGTTCGTCCCGTCGTCGACTGACCAGAGCATCAGTGCGAAAGATTGAATCTTTAGTTCTTGGATTCTCTTTCTTTAGCCCTGTTAGTTTCAGAGAAAGAGGTGGGTTTTTTTTTTTTTTTTTTTTTTTTTTTTTTTTACTTGAAAGTTATAACTGATGATACTTTTAAAGGGATTTTGTATTTAGAAAGTTCTTGTAATGAGAAACCATTGAAAAAATGGTATCGTGTGCCGTTGCTACCTGTAGCAATACGTATCATAATACGAAACTAGCGTGGTATTTCATAGATTTCCTTACAAAAATATTCAATTAACGAAAGAATGGTTGCATAGGTGTCGAAGAGCGGATATTATTAACACAAAGAGTGCTCGAATATGCAGCAATCACTTCACTGAATCTGATTATGAGGATGACATGAAAAATAGGTTGCTAGGATTACCGACAAAAAAGATACTGAAGTCAACTGCTATTCCAACTGCTTGTATTCCTGACTTGGTTATTTATCAGAATACACCAAGGCAGCAAAGGCAACAAAAAAGAAAAAAATTTACAAAGTGCATTTGAAAGAATTCAGAATTTAAGTCCTAAAAAGGCATGTCTGGAACTTCAAAACGATAACAATAATAGCTATGAGAAGTTCACTGAAAATAATATTACTCAGCAATGGTGTAACTGTTCCAACCTCCAGAAAAATGTGAAAATGTGAATGATTTAATCACAAAATTATCAGCTCTTGAGAATAAGGTTTCTGTTTTACGGACTGATAAAAAGCAGCATTTAAAAACTATCTCCCAGCAAAGAAAAAAATTTAAAAGGAATAGAAAACTAATATTAGAAGAAGTTCAGAAACTGAGGAAAGACATTAAAAAGGTGAATCAAGGAAATGAAAAACTGAGAAAAATGAAAACGTATATTCAAAACATATTTACCGAAACTCAAATAAATGCATTAATGAAAAAAAAGCGAATTAAATGGTCTCCAGACGATATTTCAAAAAGTAATCAGATCGTTATCCGTAAAGTCATACGACTTCTGGAAAGAAAAAATGGGTATTCCACTTCCAAGTACATTGAAAAGATGGTGCTCAAGATTCAGTTGCATTCCCGGCACTTTAAATGATGTACTGTTATTGATAAAAAAAAACTTGCCAAAATGCAAATGACGAAGAAAGATTATGCGTATTAAATTTCGATGGAATTCATATAGATTCAAGTCTCTGTTATGATTCAAAATTAGATCAGATATTAGGTCCTTTTAAAAAGACTCAATTTGTATTGGTTCGAGGACTCATTTCGCAATGGAAACAGCCCATTTATTTTGATTTTGATCGTCAAATGAAGGAAAATCTTCTGTCTTCCATTTTGTTTGCACTTGAATCGTCTGGGCTTCGAGGCCAAGCAATTGTATCTGACATGGGAGGTAGTCAGACCCTTTGGAAAGAATTACAAATTTCAACAAATAAATCTTTCTTTTACAGTCCTAAGTTCAGCACCAAAATATGGGTTTTCGCTGATATGCCGCATTGCATAAAGCTTTTGAGAAACCATTTTCTTGATAAAGGTTTTATGCTCGGAAATGGTACAATTATAAACAAAGACGTTATATATGAAGTACTCAATAAAGATATCGGAGAAAAGAAATTAAACTGTGCTATAAACTGAAACCTCAATTTTTATCTGTAAAAGGGAACGAGAGACAGAAAGTAGCACCAGCAAAAGCATTATTTTCCTCCACAACGGCTAAAGCAATTATGCATTTGACTGGTAATGCTGCAACAAGTAATTTTTTTTCAATGGTTGATGATTTTTTTTGACATTATGAATAGTAGTGTACCATTACCCCCTAGCAATAAGCCTTTAAAAGCTGCTTTCGGCCTAGAAAGCTATTATGAAGTACAAAAAGAAAAATTAAATGAGATTAAGCAAATGATTTTTGATCTCAGAGTATGCGGAAAGACAATGCTACCTTTTCAGAAAGGTATTATCATATCGATAAATTCGCTTTTCGGTTTATTTGACGACGTAAAATCTATAAATGTGAAATATATTTTAACATCAAGACTGACTCAAGATGTATTAGAAAGCTTGTTCAGCCAGATTCGGGGTCTAGGGCGTTTTAATGACCATCCGTCTCCATCAGACGTAATAATTCGCCTGAAAAGGTTGCTATTGGCAAACAAATTGCCTAAATTGTCGTTAAAGACAAATGCTAATGACTGTGAAGATGTGAAGAAAGTTGAAGCATATTTGACAAAAGAGCTGTTAGAAACAGCTTTTTCTTCAAATGAAAAAGCACAAATGTTTGAGTCTTCCTTATACGAAGATGATTTAATTAATTACGAAGACATCTATGATGAATGTACGTCACTTCCTTGGGAAACCGAAATTTATGATTCAACGAAAGATATATCTGCATATGAACAAGAATCGCTCGCTTATGTGGCAGGTTATATTGCATATCGTGTGAAAGATAAAGATCCTACTTTGGGTGAAATATATCAAAAAAATTCGTACATATTCCTAACGACTCAAATTGGATATTTTTATTATCTAAAGGAGGATTAACTGTACCATCACCAGTTTGGATGGAAACGATGATGAAAATGGAAAATGTTTTCCGTTCTTTTCATGGCAGTTCTTTTCGAAAAGGTAGAGGTGTAATTCAGAATCTCATTTCTTAACTTGAGAAACGTTTTCCCTCCGTGAATAAGAGTTCAGTTCGTTTATTTTGCCTTTTACGAACATTTATAAGGGTTCGGCACTTGAATAGGAATGCAACCCTTGTATCGGCAAGAAAAGCTGACCAGAAAGCAAATAAATGGATGAAGAGTAATAGAGGATTATCGAACCAAACTATATAAGAAAAAAATCATTTTAGTTGATTCACATTATTCTTACCAAAAATAATAATTTGAATCATTACTTTGTTTATTATTCACTTAATTTGTGACCTAATTTATGCAAGTTTCAGATAATTATTTGGACTACTATATAAAATATTATATATTATTATATACTAATTTAGACTGCTAAATTTTACTATATAAAATAAACCATGAAATTCTGCACAAGCATAAATTAGTATCAGAGCATATACTTTTAAAATGTAAGAATACATGCTATTATTCCAAAATATATAAATACTATTTTAAAACATTTTCATTATTTTTTGAGTAATTGACGTTAATAATACTGATACTGATATTCCATAATAATGCTTTCATAATAGACATTGCAAAAGCTTACAAAATTCTACTACTCATTATCAACGCTAATTGAAAAGCAAAAATGGAAGAAGTGAAATTTGTTTCGTTTTAATGTGTTATGAAATCTATTATTAGCATTAACTAATTTTTAATTAGATAGATGTGTAATGTCTTTAGCATGTATTCTCAAAATGTATTTGCATATTTTTATTTAATATTTCTATAATGCAAATTACTTTGCGACTAACTTATATTTTAACGCAAAAAGAATTCTTCGTAAATGTAGAAATTTACGTATGTTATCGGTGGGTTACTATTTACATACATTTAAAAAGATGATTATGACAAAGAATTACTACATTTAGGGTACACTCGACCTAAAAAATTAGTTATGTTTACGCATATGTGTTAATTAAAAAATAGTTATGTTTATGCATGTTTTACTTACGTTTTACGCATATTAGAGTTTAATTTGGTATGACGTAAATACATTTCTAGTTCATATATAAATGCATGTATATTGCAATTTCATGAGCTAAAATCTCGGCTCATATTGGTTATTAAACTATTTTTCAAAGCGTTTTGATTCTCAAACAAATGCTTAAGAAACTGGACAGCAGAACTGACCAAGCGAACCCAACTACGTCATCAGTCTCTTCTTTCGGTTTCAGCCGCGAGAAGCTGATGAACTAGCCCTTTAGCCCTGCCAGGACAGAGCGGCCACTGCCGAGCATTGCTTTGTGAGTGAAGATTAAATGTGCCACCAAGATCTGTTCAGCTTCCCACGTGGAGAGGAGGCCTCTCGCAGCTTGGTGGCGGACTCTTTGCCCCCCCCCCGTGCTGATAATGGATGTAAGAAAGGTCTAACTTCTTACCTCCATGGCGCGGAGAACGTTACAGCCCTTCCACTGCGCCGAGGTGGACCCTCAAGGAGGAGTATTCTTATAACAAATAGATTAGTAAATTCCTAGCTTTTTCAACATTACCAATATCTTAAATATTCTAAATTAGAATTAGAATATTTCGTAATTTAAAAAAACCATGCTTGCAGCATGTTCTGGAGCGAATTAAAATTATTCCCATGCTAGCCTATGAGAAAATATGTTCCGCATAATGAATAAAACACCATGTCTTAGAACCGACAACATTTGTCTTGCAAAGCACCATTACACTCTTTTTCATCAAAAGGAATTTTCGTGAAGGATATATTCTAAATATCACTTTTTCCGATTCGACTAATTTACCATTTTCAAATATTGAGATTGTGCTTAATGTTTCTTGAAAGGTTTTACATGTGTGATTATTATAGATAAGTGTTTTTGTGGTTTAAGATACAGTTTTTAAGATTACAGGTAACTTTTTAACAGAATATGGCGATATAATCTATCTCCTTTTGTTTTGATCATGATACAGGTAACTGGAGTTGTAGGTAGAGCTGAAATTTTGTCTTCACTGTTCTTTTTGCTTGCCTTCCTGTGTTATTCCGGAGCAGCTACTTCATTTCCAAGAACAGGTAATTTAAATAGAATTTTCTTTTGTTTTAGTACTTGGAGAAAACCACAGTCTTCCAACTGCAATTATTGTAGTAAATTTAAATCTGCGATTTTTCAGAATTTTTTAAATCATTATATTAGTTTTTTATTTTTTAACTTAAAGCAATAATCATACACATAAATTTTGAAATAAAACCAAGTAACAGTTTCGAAATTAACGCAGCTTGGTTTCTAACTTGTGTAAGGAAAAAAAGATTACAAGTGTTCATTACTGATTAACTCGTTCTTAGTTTGAATTACACCGTTTCCCCCCTTCATTTAATTATTTCAGCCCTGAAAAATAATAAACTAAACTCAACTCCACGTAAAATTAAGGAAAAACGCAACTATAAATGGTCGTAGATTTTGAATAAATTTGTACTCTTGAGTGATATTTGTACTTACTTTACTTATTTGTACTTACTTACTTCAATTATGTAACAGTACATAATTGAAATTGTAAATAGTATACCATCTTGTATTTCCTTTTGTATTTATTAATAAGAAAGTAGTTATTAATATTGTAATTACGTAGTCTCAGCATGCCAACAGATGGCGCTAGTATTTATTTGTAAAAGAAACTGTGATGTTATATGTAGTAGTCCGTCTTTAGAGTTCGTGGATAAACATTTTAATAGAAGAACGCTTTCTGTTTATTATTATTATTTTTAACCAGTCTGATTTAGTAGAGACTTATCCATTTTTTTCAGCGTTTAAATTCTTCCATTTTATCGTATTTTCCTTTTCATTTGCGCGTTTACATTTTTACTGTTTTATAACCCCCCATACATCACCTCTCATATCTAAATGGGAGGTAGCGATTTCGGTCCGAAAATTTGATATCGAGTTTTCAGCGAATAAGCACGAATTAGAGTCCCCACTTTACGTTTTTGCTATTTTTTGTAATGATATATGTGTCTCTGTCTATAACTTATCCCAAACTTCCAAAATTTTCTGTTTTCTGTGTTTAATCTTTTTGCATTCGTATAACGAGTTGGTAAGATTTTGGGTTAAACTGGATGACCCAGGAAGTGGTACTTTGAAACCCATAACATTTTCTTATGGACAACCGGAAGTGGAATTTCACTTGAAGCCCAGTAACAGTCTTACAGCAATTAATGTAATATACTAGCGGGCAAGCCCGCCAGCTGAGCGGGCTGAAGCCCGCTTATCATTGTTCGTTTTTAAAAGATATCCTATGTTAAATTTGGCCGGTATTGAAAAGTTGAACCGAACTACCATTTTTTAGCGGCATTCCGCGGGCTTCCCCCGCTTTTTTCACCTATGCATCCAGAAGTTACCGCATACACTATACATATGCGGAAAATCACGAAAACACCCCATGCTTCCAGCCCTTTCGCGGGTATTCGAAATTTGGACCGAAATACCAGTGTTCAGCGCTTTTGGGCGGGAGCCCGCCCAAAACAGTGTTCACGTGTGCATGCAAAAGATACTGCGTACACCGTACACATGCGTAAAATCACGAAAACACCCCTCCAGCCAGCCCGCTGCCGATTCGAAAGTTGGACCGAAATACAATTTTTCAGCGATTTTGCGCGTGCTGTGCCCGCTTTATTCACGTATGCATGCTGAAGATGGTGCATAAACGATACACATGCGTAAAATCACGAAAACAAACATGGAGCCTGCCTGTTCGCCGGTATTCGAAAGTTGGACCGAATTACCAGTTTTATGTGGCTTTGCGCGGGCTCTGCCCGCTTTATTCACATATACACCCAGAAGATACTCCATACACTATACACATGCGTAAAATCACGAAAACACCCATGGAGCCAGCCAGTTCGTCGGGATTCGAAATTACCGCATTACCAGAACCGCATTACCAGTATTCTGTGCCCGCTTTATTCACGTATGCATCCATGAGATACTTTATAAACGATACACATGCGAACAATCACGAAAACACCCATGCAGCCAGCCAGCCCGCTCGCCGAGATTCGAAAGTTTGAGCGAACTACCAGTGTTCAGCGGTTTTACCCGGTATCCGCGCGCTGTATTCACGTATGCATCCAAATTTTATATACAGTACCCCGGAATTCGAAAGTAGGACCGAAATACCAGTGTTCAGCGATTTTGTGGAGCGGGCTGCGCCCGCTTTATACACATAAGCATGGAGAGGATACTGCATAAACGATACACATGAGTTAAAGCAAGAAAACACCCGGGGAGCCAGCTCGTTCGCCGACACCGAAAGTTGGATCGAACTACCAGCGTTAAGAGGTTTTGAGCAGGCTGCGCCCACTTTTATCACATATGCATCCAGAAATCACTTTATACACTATACACATGCGGAAAAAATCAGGAAAACACCCATGCAGCCAGCCCGCTCGCAGAGATTCGAATGTTTGACCGAACTACCAGTGTTCAGCGGTTTTACCCGGTATCCGCGCGCTGTATTCACGTATGCGACCAAATTTTATGTACAGTACCCCGGAATTCGAAAGTTGGACCGAACTACCAGTGTTCTGTAGTTTTGCGCGGGCTGCTCCCGCTTTATTCAAGTATGCATGCAGAAGATACCGCATACACGTTACACATGCGAAAAATCCCGAAAACATACATTGAGCCAACACGGTCGCTTGGATTCGAAAGTTGGACCGAACTACCAGTAATCAGAGGTTTTGAGCGAATTTCGGCCGCTTTATTCACTTATGCATCCAGAAGATGCTGCGTACACGAGGCACATGCGTAAAATCACGCAACAACACCCATGGACCCCAGCCCGTTCGCCGGGATTCGAAATTAGGACCGAACTACCAGAGTTCAGCTTTATTCATTTATGCATCCAGAAGACACTGCATACACAACAGATATGCGTAAAATCACAAAAAACATGAGTGTAGCCTGCCTGCTCACCGGGATTCGAAAGTTACCGTATACCATCTCAAAGGAGCAAAGAAAAATCTTTAATCTAAAAAAAAAAAAAAAGTGTGAATTTAATTTTTATTGGTGCGAACTTATTTAAAATATCATTTGCATTAAAAGATAATATCTAAATTAAGTGCACGTATCTAATAACATAAAAAATATATTATTCCAAAAAATCAAATTTATTATTAAAAAAATAACAACATATTTTTAAAAAATAGCTTTTTCAGATTTTTTAATTAATATCCCATCCAGCTGATTAAAGTTGTACAACTTCAAGAACGTCATCATTTAAATTTAATGTAATATAATAACTTTTATTCAATATCAATAAAAGAATTAACGTGACAATCATCCTAACCTGAAATTAAAAAAAAAATTGTGAAAAGCAGCTGTTTATTTAAAATGCCTACATTAACGAAATATTTTTAAAATACAGTTAGGTAACATGCAATCGCGTGCTTTATTCAACTTTAGAATATAACCTTGATTTGTATCTGCGGCGATTCAAGAAACTGTTGCAATCGGAAAAATGAGCCCGAAAATTAGCGTTTTCACAGTTTTTTAATTAATATCTCAGCTGATTAACGTCCTACGAAGATGAGAATGGTATCATTGGATTCGTAGAATTTTTGGAATCCGCAGACACCTGCCTCGAATTCCAACTCAGCGCCGTTCCATAGATATTTAAGAAAAAAGAATTGACACGTGACCTTTCGCCAGCACAAATCTCGAGCGGAAGCAATTGTCATCCCCCCGGCGCTTTCGAAAAAGCAATTTTATCTCAGCTAATTCCGAGACGGTTGCCACTCCACTCCGAAAAATGAAATAACGTTTTCGCAGTTTTTAATTAATAACTCCGCCGATTATTGTCGTACGAAGATGGGACCGGTATCGATGGATTCGTTGATTTTTTTCGAATACGGGGGATATGCGTTTCGAATCGCAACTCGGAGCCGTTCCCGTTCCCAGATATTCGAGAAAAACGAATTTGGCACTCGGCCAAATCCCTAAAATAGGGGAAAACCCGTGAAAGAAAGTGCAAAACGTAGGGAAATGTAGGGAGAAAATCAGTTTTTAATTAATATCTCGGCTAATTAAAGTCGCACGAAGATGCCGATGGTCAATATGGCGAGCCACGGGAATTCTGAATCCAACGGTACCTTCCGCTAAGCTCTACACCCAGCCGTTCCCGAGGAGATGATGTTACAAACACACAAAGAGACAGAGGCACACAGATTTTAATAGTATAGACTAGCGGGCTGAAGCCCGCTTATCATTGTTCGTTTTTAAAAGATATCCTATGTTAAATTTGGCCGGTATTGAAAAGTTGAACCGAACTACCATTTTTTAGCGGCATTCCGCGGGCTTCCCCCGCTTTTTTCACCTATGCATCCAGAAGTTACCGCATACACTATACATATGCGGAAAATCACGAAAACACCCATGCTTCCAGCCCTTTCGCGGGTATTCGAAATTTGGACCGAAATACCAGTGTTCAGCGCTTTTGGGCGGGAGCCCGCCCAAAACAGTGTTCACGTGTGCATGCAAAAGATACTGCGTACACCGTACACATGCGTAAAATCACGAAAACACCCCTCCAGCCAGCCCGCTGCCGATTCGAAACTTGGACCGAAATACAATTTTTCAGCGATTTTGCGCGTGCTGTGCCCGCTTTATTCACGTATGCATGCTGAAGATGGTGCATAAACGATACACATGCGTAAAATCACGAAAACAAACATGGAGCCTGCCTGTTCGCCGGTATTCGAAAGTTGGACCGAATTACCAGTGTTATGTGGCTTTACGCGGGCTCTGCCCGCTTTATTCACATATACACCCAGAAGATACTCCATACACTATACACATGCGTAAAATCACGAAAACACCCATGGAGCCAGCCAGTTCGTCGGGATTCGAAATTACCGCATTACCAGAACCGCATTACCAGTATTCTGTGCCCGCTTTATTCACGTATGCATCCATGAGATACTTTATAAACGATACACATGCGAACAATCACGAAAACACCCATGCAGCCAGCCCGCTCGCCGAGATTCGAAAGTTTGAGCGAACTACCAGTGTTCAGCGG